GGAAGCACAAGAGGTGCAAAACAGCCTGGATTTAGATGGTGGCAACGAACAAACCACATGTGCCCAACACAGTCCACACAATATACACATCAGTCTGACATCGTGTACACCATAGAGAGGTACACGGGTTGAGTTACTTTTGGGCTTCGATAGAGCCACTGGACTTTTGTCACCTATTCGCTGATTCGATAATATGCTTCTGTCCGCTTCTCTCACTGTTTGTCTCTGTTTCGCCGTAGGCATTCATCACGGGCCTTCCAACGTTGTGTATGAATGTGAGGGCACACAACGCCACACCAGTCAAGGTGAAAATACCGCCACCCAATGAGCCACTAAAAGGGCGGGTGGCATTGCGGTCACACTCCAAAACCAGGTTGGCCAAACGCTCTCTCATGGACTTCAGCAGTGGCCGTGGCTTTAATTCTGATGAATGTTGTTGCCGACCTTGAAACGCAGTGGAGGATTCCATGCCACGAAGGCGCACGCAGCTACGAAGCATTATCTTTCAGAGAAACACCGCCCGAGATCCTGTACTATATCTCTTTAAACAAATAATATTCACAAGAAAACAGCAACAGCAAAACATGCCAAAGAACGGGACACAAGTGTCATTAACGCAGTGTCTTTCATCCTCATGTTAACAGCAGTTTGTAGCCGATTTACTCCACGCGATTACTGTGCCAACAAAAATGAAGGTCCTCTGCCACTTGCAAGGTCTTATGAAGGCATCGGATCTGCTCAATCTGTTTGTCACTAAGGGTTCCATTACGAAAGAACGCATTTGCTGCCATCCAATTCTGCTTCAGATGCTCTTCTGAGCGACTGCGCACCAAAACGCAAAAACCCTGGCTCAGACCCCACATGAGCAACACATTGGGTACAGTGTACCCAGGGAAGAAGTCCCGAACGATGGCACATAGTGTAGGGTGTTCAAGAAGCCGCACGTCTCCTTGCGCCAACGGGGAATATTGCTGTAGAATAACGCCATGTTGCCGGCAGTAATTGCTCACAACTTGCTGCACACACATCGGGTGCAGCTCAATCTGGTTGATTGTCGGCCGGCTCTGGTTGGTCGCTGCAAACAAAGTATCTACCTCCGCATCCTCAACCAACGTAGTAAAATGTTGCGGCTGGAAGTTAGAGACTCCCAAATGTCGCACAAGTCCTTCACGCTGCAGCGACGTCATCACCTTCCAACAGCGACGTCGCGCCGCTCTGTTCTCCTCTCCTTCCTCTGGCTTGTGCCCACCGCACCCAGGCCAGTGAATCAGCACGCAGTCAGCATACGTGATGCCAAGCTTTTGCACGCTCTGTCGTATACCATCCTCCACCCGCTCCTCCGAAACCATCGCCTTTGGCGCGATCTTCACGACGACAAACAACTCCTCCCGCGGCACTCCACTATCCTTTATACCGGCGCCAACCAATTCCTCGTTGCGATAACTGGCCGCCGTATCCACTAGCCGAAAACCCAAACGAAGCGCACATGCAACAGCACTGCGACACTCTTCACCACGCAACTCATAGGTACCTATACCAATATGTGGAATACGCACGCCACCAAATGTCTCAAGATGCGGAATGAGCCTATCCTCATCCACACCTTGCATTGCTTCCCTCCTTCACAAACCCTTACAACCAGAGCCATGGGACGTGAGAACTGCGCGAAGTCTTTCTGCCGGAAGCAGAAACGACAACCCACAACAATCTACTTCCGTGCAAGGAAGTATAACTCACTCTCTACACGCAAACTTGCAGCACACACAGACACACACACACACACACTGGTCAATTAACGTGCAGTGCCGCAAAGAGGGCGGGGAATGGACTTCTTTTCTCGAGGCATGTGCTGCTAAACATACCAGCAGCACTGTCCTCTGCAAACAAAGAGGGGGAACACACGCAAGCACAAAAAAAAAAGACAAAAAAGCTTTTAAACAGCCACAGCAAAGCCGCACGAGGAGCCACACGAGAAGATCACACAACGACACATATGTATGCTCCCTTTACCTCGGCGAGCAGATACGGGCGGCCGGCACTGGCAAATCAGCCCCCTACCCACGCGCGTTTTTAGCAGCTGAGTCGACGCGCGCACGCAAGAAAGTCGTACGCCCATTCCACAAGCGACGAGGGCGCCAAAAACAACTGAAAGCAATCTTCCTCCACGCGTGCCCCGTCCCACCCGCCAAACACAACAACCCTCCCCTTGGACGACTGCACAGCCGCGTGCGAGCGGCGACC